CCGGCTCCTCCTTGGCCTTCTCTGCAGCCTTCTCCTTGGGCTCCTTGGGGGCCTTCCCCGCCGCCTCCTCCTCCTTGGCCGACACGTTGCTCTCGCTGTCGCTTTCGTTGTAGTCTGGCACAAACGCGGCCTCGTCAGTCTCCCTGGTGAGGTCGGAGGAGAGCCGTGAGGAGCTGCTCACCGGAGGCTTGGGCTTGGCCACGCTTTTATCCTTCTCTTTTTCCTTCTCCTTCTCTTTCTCATTTTTCACCTCCGGCGAGTCCAGTTTCAAAGCCGGTTTATTACCAGTGGGCTCTTTCTCTTTATTGCTCTTTACTTCTGGCACGTGTTTCTCTTTCTCCTTTCCTGGATTTTTCTCTGGAGGTTTGTGCTCCTCCGCCGTGCGCTTGGAGTCGTGGGCAGCTTTGTGGTCGGGCTGCTTGCGCTCGCGCGGGGGACTGTAGCTGCTCCTTTTGGCATCTCCAGCGCCCTTTTTGGGCGCCTCTGCCCGCTCCTCTCTGGGCTTACTCTTCTGCACTGCTGCCGAGTCTCTGGTTCGGGAGGGGGAGTCTTTTCTCCTTGCTAGCTCACTCTTTTCCTCCCTACGCTTGGAACTAGAATGATCTCTGCTGCTGTCGTGGTCGGATTTTTTGTCTCTGTTAGGAGTGAAGTCTTTCGCTGTCGATCCACGGCCAGTGTCATGCTTCTCTGAAGATCTGCTGTCTTTGGAAGATTGAGAAGCATTTTTTCCGTTTCCTTGTTCAGCTGCACGCTCCGAGTGGTCTTTTTCTGGCTGAACACTGCTCTTTCTCTTCTCAGAAGTGTCCTTGTCTGACAAAGAATGATCCCGGTCTTTGGTTTTTCCTTTTTCATTCGACACAGAACTTTTTGAACTTTTTGCATCATGCTGGGAGCTTTCGTAACTCACCTCTTTTGTAGTTTTCTGTGTTTTCTCCAAGGGCTCTGTCTCTTTTTCGCTGTGTTTTATGGGGTTTGGTAGCTTACCACTGACATTCTTTATAACACTAGCAGGTTTTCCTATGCTTGTGGGCACCTGCGTAGTCTTAACGTCTTCCTCTTCCGACTCAAAGTCATCTTTGTCCCACTTTGACTGAGGGACCTGGATCATGATAATGACATCTTCAGCAGGGGCTGTTATATCGTTATTGTACTCCTCCATGGTCTTAATGACAGTTCGTTTTGTGTCTGGCTTATCTTCAGTCTTTCTAACAGGGCTGCCTCCAGTGGAGCTGGTGCTAGGAGGGAAAACAGTGTGTGTTACTACCGGGCGAGACACGCGGTGCCCCGCGGCCCCTGCAGCCTCTTATAAACCAGCTTTTCTGTCAATTCCACATCTTCAGCCTTTTTTCAAAAGATGTTCAATTAGGGGAACAGACACAGGAAAGGATGAGTCCACTCGCTAAGATTATGAGCCATCAATTAATTTAGTATCTCACTATTATACATTTAATTAGCAAAGACACAAGATTATCAGATTGGGGACTGTCTGATCTGGTAATTCCTCCATGTCCTATTTCTACCAATGGCAGATAAGTCAGATGCACGTTCTTGTTTCAGTGTGTAAGCAAGCAGTTATGGAGAGGTACATACAACCAGAGCTTTATCCTCATGTTCTTTAGAAAAATGTTTTAGAAACTTTCTAGGATCTCAAGACACGTAGTCTCTAGGGATGTCTTAAATTTTTGAGCTTGTTTATTCCTGCTTCTTTAGACACTGAACTGTAGTGACAGCTCCACACTAGATCACTGGCTTTTCTTTCCACACGTCTCACAACAGGATATAGAAGTCTGATCTGGTAATTCCTCCATGTCCTATTTCTACCAATGGCAGATAAGTCAGATGCACGTTCTTGTTTCAGTGTGTAAGCAAGCAGTTATGGAGAGGTACATACAACCAGAGCTTTATCCTCATGTTCTTTAGAAAAAGGTTTTAGAAACCTTCTAGGATCTCAAGACACTATCTTAGTCTCTAGGGGTGTCTTAAAGTGTAAGCAAGCAGTTATGGAGAGGTACATACAACCAGAGCTTTATCCTCATGTTCTTTAGAAAAATGTTTTAGAAACTTTCTAGGATCTCAAGACACGTAGTCTCTAGGGATGTCTTAAATTTTTGAGCTTGTTTATTCCTGCTTCTTTAGACACTGAACTGTAGTGACAGCTCCACACTACATCACTGGCTTTTCTTTCCACACGTCACACAACAGGATATAGAAGAGACACCTCCAAGGGAAGTGCCAACAGAAGGCTGGCACTGAGCTGGAAGCAGTGCAGCCGTGTCAGCACAGCACTGAGCTCAGAGCCAACAGCAGCACAAGGCTCTGGCAGCCAGGCTGCTGCTTCTGCAGGGTACAACCCCACGTCATGCTGACACGGAGATCACTGCAGTACTTTGCAACATTTAAACACAAAATCCTGCACGGGCTGTTATCCTTGCCTTTGGCAGTAAGCTGCATTTGAAGGAAGACATATGGGACACCTCAGAGTCATGTAATGAAAAAGAAGAGGGGGAAAACCCCCCAGAATGAAGGGTGGAGCACATCACCATGTACAAACTGTACCAGCTATCTGTGCAGTACAGACTGCTCTTTTTCTTTAACACCACTTCATTTTGACCCAAGTGCAGTTGATCAGGGAAGCTCACAATTATTCACTCATTCAGTACGGATTTAGCTGTTCCTTTCATTAGTCACCATAAAGAATTCTAAATTCTACATCTTTTGGAAGGGACAAAAGAAAGAATAGGAAAAAGAAACAATGAGGTACCTGGCGTAATCTACCAGAGTGGAACTGGATCCATCAGCTGCTGTCACTTTTCTTCTCGCTTTTCCCTTGGCTTTTTCTTGTTTAACTTTGCTGCTGCTCGGCTCCGGTTTCTCCGCAGGCTCTTTCCCAGGTGGCACATTTTCTCCACTCACAATCTTTTTGCCAGTTTCTCGGTTAAGTTTAATCTTTTTGGCAGGGTTGTTAAAGGCAGACTTGTCCTTCTCTGGAGTCCGCTCTCCTTTCTCCCCGTCGGGCTCGGCCTTCCCCTTCGGTGATGTTTTCGATTCAGCAGCGTCTGGTTTAGAGACCTTGACGGACGTGGTGTCATGCTCTTTATCAGCCTTTTCATCTGCTTTCCTTTTTCTTTTCTCAGGTTTTGCATCAGAAGGTTTGCTTTTTTCAGTAGGTTTTTTTGACTTCTCCTCTTTGTTGGAGGGCTTCTCTGACTTGGTTTCTTTTGGATGGTCTTTCTTTGCCTTTTCCTCCTTGGCTGGCCTGGTTTCTGGGTGATCTTTCGTCACTTTTGGGTGAACTTTCCGCGGGGTGCCAAGAGCCTTCTCATCCTTTTGAGAGGAAGATGTCTTAACACTGTCTGTCTTTGGCAACTCCTCCTTCACTTTTTTGGCAGGAGGCTCTGCTCGAGGGGATTTCTCGCGGTCGGTGTCCACCTTCTCCTGGGAAGCTTTCGCTGACTTGGTCACAGTCTCCTTCTTGGGAGGAGCAGCCGCTTCCGCTTTCCGCTTCGTCTTATCCGTTTTTGCTTTTGGCTTATCCTTCTCTTTTTTCTCCTTTTCAGATACTGGCTTGAAAGCAATAGAATCTGCCTCCATAGGCTCATCTCTCACAGGGGTGGCATCATCTCTGCTTGGGAGCATGAACAGAGAGTCCGTTTTAACGTCCTCTGTTGTAACTGCCTCTCTTGGTTTTCTCGCACCTTCTAACAACTCTGCAGTGGGAAACGCCTCATTCTCATCCCCTTTCCTTCTCTTCCGGTGTTTTTTGTGTTTATTTCCTTTGCCGTCTCCCAGGGGATTTTCCACCTCCTTCTCTTTTGATTTTGTAGGATCTTTGATGCCATGGCTCTCTCTTCCAGAAGGTTTTTCAGGGTAATTTCCAGCTATATTACGGTTTCTGTGACTCTGTCCACCAGGATAATCCTCCCTACGTCCCCGAGCATACGGCGAAGTCTCTCGTCTGGTTCCAGGTGGACCAAACCTATCTGGAGAAAAGTTCTCTCTGTTTACTGGAGGCCGAGGCTGAGCACCAACAGCATAGCCCTTGTAAAACTTTTCGTACCACTCTCTATAATTCCTTTCCCATTCTCTGTATCTCTCCTTTTCAAACGGATCTCTAAAGTCAACAGATCTGCCATAGTAAGCTTTCATATCGTATGGGGGAACTTCTCTGTATCTGTTAAAATATTCCCTTTCTCCTTCCCCTTGAGGGATAGTCCGTTTAGTGGGAGACTGACCTCTAAACACCGGCGACCTTGACCGTGAGTGGTATCTCCTGTATGGGGGTGACCTGGACCTGGAGCGGTGGTAACCGTGTGACCGTGACCGAGAGCGGTAGTTGCGGCTCTTCCCCTTGCCCCGCCGGGGGTAGGGTGGTGACCGGGAGTAGGAGCGGGAGTGGGACCGGCTGAAGGACCGCGAGTAGGAGCGCGAGCGGGAGGAGCCCGACCGTGACTTGGAGTAGGTATAGGAACTTCTGGAGTAAGATGAAGCACTATAGGGAGACTTGGACCTTAAAGAAAAACACAACACAAAGCAGATAAATGAAGTTAATTCAAAACAGTCACTCTTCCCACTTCTCCCATTTTTTTTTTTTCCTCTCCATATGCTTATGTCAAAGCTTCTTTCAGCTGCTGACATAATGCTACTGGAAACTGAAGAACTTGATAACATGTAAAAGTTTCTGCTTAAGAGACAGAACAGCTGCTGCTTTGTTAGTGTAAAAACAGAGGAAGGGTAAGTCTATTTCCACTACTTCTATCACAGCATCTACCACAGCTAGTGATTGATTTAGGGTGGTGTATACTGGCCTCTGCTGGTATGTCAACGTGCACCTTCTTCACTGCTCAGAAACTACATGCAGTGCAAATCATTTCTGTCGCAGTAAGATGCAAAAAGAGCAAGTCTTAATAGCTACAGTGCACTATCAAACATTGGAAACTCGATTTAGCCTGAAGACAGTACAGCTCAATTTTTAACTGCCAGCTTAATCTCTTTAACTTTACTTATTTGGCAGTTTGTACAGGATGCAAAATACCTGTAATGCAATCCTAGGACAGAACTATTTAGCCAACGCTTCTAGTCAGATGTCCTAGCAAAATTTTGCACATCACTCTAGCTCTAACCAAGGGTAGTGACTGTACTTCAAGAAAAATCATATCTAAAAAGCCTCTAAACTCAGCCTCTAGTAATACGACTCAATGTCATTACTCTAGGAAAGACACTGACAGCATCACTAACAGAGAGCTACTCAGACTCCTGCCCAAGCGATTTTTGGGGGACAGAAAACATCAGCTAGCCTGAGATTTTTCTTCACAAGTTTTTCTTGTACTGTTTTTTTTTTTAAAGAACCATTTTCCATTATTCCGTGTACGTTCATTTGCATCATTCCTCCTCTCAAAGTCCTTCACCAAGTTAAGATTTCCTTAAAAACAAGTCTGACCTTTTAATTCCTAAGAAAAATTTAACAATGTCAACAAAAGACTAGTGAAAACCATCTGCCTGCAGTCCAGGTTAAAATCTCTCCGTGTATCCACATGAGATAAACAGAAGAGGAAGTGAAGACAATGTCTCTCCCCTATCTCCTCCAAAGTGTTTTGAAATAATGGTCACAGCCAGAATAGGGGATGCAGAAAAAGCAGCCACGACCCCTACACGGTTTCTAAGCTCCTCCTGGCTGGCAGAGGTGAAGGATGTCAATACAGAGAAGCTTTAGTAAAAGAGACATCTGCTCCTGAACAACTGCTGCCCAATTATAACTAACAGTCAGCTGTAATCTCTGCCGTCTCTGAGCTCGTAGCCTACACGTGAAACTCCTATCGCTGCTAATCCCTGGAGTCATCCAATCCAGCTACTGACAGAGAGGTGGAGTTGGAACTCCTCCTCCTTCCTCTAGACAATCTGCTTCTCCGTTACGGACACGTAAAGCAGTTACCTGGAAAACGAACGCCTACGCTCCTTTTGAATCTTTTTATATTCCATCAATTCCTTAGCAAAATCATTTGTAAACTCATCAAGTTTGGACTTTTTCTTTTCCCTGTTAAAATAAGTTTGACCTTTATTACAATTATAGTTTGACCTTTATTACAAAAAGACATCAAGAAACAAAACACGGCCAATACGAGAAAACACTGCATGCAACGCAAAAGGTGAACATCCTAGTTAAGCAAAAACAGTTCAGAAAGCCTACGCGTTTTAGGAAAGTTTTAGAATTACAGTTGTCTGGAGTTTAGGTTTGCACGTTTACCGTCTGCCCCGAACACGTATATTGGAAAAAGCAGTGGGTCATTTCTGGTTATGTCAGATGGGCTTTGGCGGAGCCGCCGTCCGACGCGCCACCGAAACACAGACACGAAAACAGCACGGCCTCCCCCAGCCAATACTTACTCCTCTTTAAGTCTCCGCTGCTCTCTGTAAAACTCCTCCCTAGATAGAGGAGGTGCTTGTGTCGTTGGGATGGTATTTGAGTGACCCGCTGGTACTGCTGCTGGTACCCAAGCTGATGACATGTTTGCAGGAGCTGGGGGATATCCTGGAGGGGGGACAGTGTACCCAGCAGATGGAGGCTGACCAGGTGGAAACTGAGGAGGAAACTGTGGTGGTGGTACCCCGGGTGGAAGAGGAAGTGCGTGGGGTGGTGGAGGGTACAAGGGAGGTGGAGGCACAGGCACAAAGACTTGTGAAGATGCTGGTAGTGCTGGGGCCTGAGTCCTTTGGGAACGTTCACTGTGCAGGCGTCCTCGATTTGAACTTTAAAGAAATCCAGAAACATGTGTCACCGTTTGTTACACTCCGCCCTCTTTTTAAAGAGGAAAGCGAATGCAGCGGGGGCACGATGGTGAGCACTTCTTGTTCTCAACTTAAGCATTTTCCTCCCTGCTTTCTGTTCGTTTGAGGCTACACTCACTTCTCGATCCTCAGACCCGCCTTCCACATCCTCACCCCCAACTGTGCCCTCAGTCTTCTCTCCTCAGACTCAGCTTTGCGACTGCTGCCCCTGCTCAGGGCAGACTCCCAGCTCCCACGGGCCCAGTGCTCACTGCTCCTCTGCCACTCCTCGAACTTCTGATCTTCAAAGCACTGCACAGACAGCAACTCACCTGCTCTCCAGCTTTTATAAACCTCTCCCTCATACGCTTCCTATGTTGTTTGCCTTGTGATGATGTATTTGGCCTGTTCTCGTCCCTGAATTGTTATTTTCTTGCTTACTGAATTTGAGATTTTAGATAAAGGATTCTGGTTTTCATCTTGATTTATCTTTTAAGATTTTATAAGCATGGTGCACTGCTACATCTGATCTGTAACGAATATATACCAAAAGGAAGGACTGACTCGACACTGCAGTCAGAGGTAAAAGAGACTCCACAGACTGCAACTGGCAGACAGCAGCTTGGCTGTTTGAGGTGACTAAACGGAAGAAATTTGAAGCTGTTGTAAAACAAAGTGTTGACTTTTCCAATAATTTGCTCAATCGGTATCAACTGAGCTGTTAAAGAAAGAATGCTGGAACCTCATTTCTGTTGGAAAATTGATTTATTCAGCCCTATTCAGCCAGTAATCAAAAGTGTGACTTTTCACCTGATCCTTTTAATTATATTTAATTTTTATAAGTAATTATGGTTTCCTCAAAAACGTTCCTTTTTCAGAGCCCTCTTTTCAATTATGTACTGGAGTTTTAGTTTAAATAATCTTAATGCAAGCACAGATCCCTTTTGCTAAAGCTAATTCCATTTAAGCCATTTAAAAATTAATTACCACTTGTATTGTCCACAACTATCTGTGCATACTTATTTCATTATAAATCAGCTTTTGTCTAGGTTGTGTGTTAGGGCCTAATTTAACAGGCTACAAGCAGTAATATATTGAATGTCTGTAGGATACTTACAGTTCCCAGCCTGGTCTGCCACCTGCTGAGCGAATGGCACCAGCTCTCATTGGATGACCTTTTAGGGTGGGGAAAGGAGAATGAGAAAAAAAACAACAACAACATTCAGTTTATCTGAATATAGCTTTTTTAGAAGAAATTCTCAAGTTACAGTTACTTACCAGTTGTGGGTATTGATTGTCCTTGTGGGCCCAGAAGACTTGGTAATGCTGGCTGTCTCAGCACAGGGACCTGATAGCCCTTGTGAAGGAATGCAAGCAGTTAGAGAATAACCTCAGCTAAAATACAAGAATCACTACAGATGTTGAAATAAAACTTACCTTCTCTTCCAACAAACTGCTGATTGCCAGCGGGGAAGATTTAGAAAATTCAGCGGCAGTCACCAAAGCAGCGGGAGGTAAAACAGTATCAGCATCACTACAATAAAAACCCATTTTTTTTTTTTTAATTATTCAAACATTTCTAAATGCTACTGAGATATAATGGCCCGGTGAGAAAAGGCTGACTACTGTAAACTGGGAAAAATAATTTTAAGAATAACCTTCACCAGATTTACAGATGTAAAGTCGGCCGATTCCAAGTGAAGCACTGACAAGAAGTTAGTTTGAGCTACTGGCAGTTCAGGAGGAAGCTCTCTGGGAAATATTTTATTAAGCCAGCTGCACATGAAAGGGTTACAGTATGTGTAACCCACAAACGGAGTGCCAGTTCTGGAAGAGGCAAGAACTGAAATTCTAGTAGGAAATCTTCACGTGCTCATTCAGAGGCTACTTTAGGGCTTCTTTTGCATGGGGATCCCTCAGGGTGCAGCTGAGCCTCAGTGCCTTCTGGACAGGGAGGCTGTCTGCATTCAGGGTGTAAAATTGAAAGGGTATAAGCCCTGAGCAATAGTACTGATTTTTAACGTATTTTCATAGGACTTCACTGGGTTGCAGACTTAGACTTTTACGTTTGTAAATACTTCAGATGTACAGCTCCAATGTTTATTGTGCATTACTGACTACACTGTGCATTACTGACAATGACTCACTTACCGTAATACTGATGATGGAAATACCCTAGAAAAAAGTAACGTAAAAACACCTGGTCAGTTTTACCTATAATTGTGCTTTAACACTTTTCATGAAAATATTACATCCTCAGTACTAAAGAGACATTAACACACTCAAAATCTGACATAACTGGACTATTACTTTAGGAATCGCTAGCAACATAAGAATCTAAGGGCTCCTGGGGGAAGGAGGTTTCTTTTTCAGGGCAAAGCTATACTGAACGACTGATCAATATTTCTAAGAACATTCTTGCATGAGGCACACTTCCAACTCACCTAAGTGTCCTCATTCAAAGTAAAAACAAACCCCTCAACTTCCACAATTACCTGACACTGTCACTAATGACACATAAATCACTAGCTGCGAAGTTCAAGAACTAGACTAACTTCAGCTTTTTGGTCTCTTTTGTATTCGTGCTGATGTACAGACTGACTCACCGAAAAGGTCCATCTGGCTTTTCACCACGGAGAAGGGACACTGCTGGAGGGAGATCAGAGACAAGAACAGAGGACGGATTTACTGGCAGCCCGGCTGCCTGACCGGGGCCCAGCGACGACAGAGCAGCAGCTGAGCGAGAAGCCAGAGAAGCCAGAGGGATCATGAGGGGGTCCTGCTGCCTGGAGATCGTGGGCCGGAGCAGCGGCTGCAGGTTGCGTGTTATGGTTTGTCTCATCCGGGGTGGTGGCGGTGGGGGGGGTTTTTGGGTGTGGCGGTTGTTGCTGCTGCTGACCCTGCTTACGGAGCCTTTTTGTGTAGCCAGTTTCATTTTTGAAGTTGTTCACAGCCTAGAGATAGAGAAATGTTTACAAAAAGGTAAGGTGAACCTTCAGCAGGTACACAAACAAAAGCCTCCAGAGTAAAATGACTTGTGTGTTCCTGTAAGTCCTTTCAGTCCTAAAAAGAAATCAACATACAGATACATGAACACATCACATAGAACACTCACTTTTAAAAACACTATTAATGACTGGTAACTCAGAATACCTGTATTGAAGTAACAACAGATAAACCTTATTGAATTTATTGAATTTTCTTAAGAAGAGGTAATCACTATTTTCTTCCCTGTCAGCTTCTTACAGATAGATTTTTCTTACAAACAGCTGACATAAAAGGAATCGTGTTACCTGGCGCAGGAACTTGTTGGCAATTAAAGCATCTGGAGAGACATCTGTCTGATGACACGTTGGGCAGGTATGTTCCTCAGATTCCAGCAATGCTGTTCTAATACCTGTGAATACAATTATTGAAACAGTTTTTAGCCAAACTAAGGCAATTCTCTGGGTTCTAATAAATTACAAAACCATGTATATGACTCATGTGTGAATGCAATCTTGAACTGAGAGCAAAACAAAAAGAATTTCCTGTATGCAGCAAGTAACTGCAGGTTTGATATTTTACTACTGCAGCATTTGAAGATGGAGAGTAGGCTGTACCTGGATGTTTCAGCTCGTCTTTTCTCCACTACCTTGTACACTGACAAGTCATCAACCTCAAGGTTAACAAGAAATACACTTCTCAAAACCCCACTAGCAGGTTTGAGTTCTAAAGGTTATAACCAACTCTCCCCATGGAGAAGAATGTGGATTAAATGCCTGACTATTCATTTGCTGCATATGACAGGGAATCCCCAGAGTCAGATGTGTAGTGTTGTATGAGAGAATGGGCTGTGGACAAACTAAGGACATTCAACATCTAATACTGTAATCACTTGCACAGTTATGGACTCTGCTCATGCTTATCTTTCCACATGTAAAGAGGACTTAACTAGGTGTGTAAACGGGGGAAAAAAAAAGTTCTACCCTTTTTTCCCCCCTTTATACAAGAAAAGTCCTCTCCTATTCAGGACATGCTGAAGTATTAAATAGAAATGGTAACAACAGCTCTCTTTCATTATTGCCTCTTTCTGCTTTCTGCAGACCAGATGTGATGTTCTGAATTACCAAACATGGGAGCAACACTCACATTCATCACAGTAACTGTTTCCACAGCAGGGAATAACAACTGCATCGGTCATTATATCTTTACAAATGAGACACAACAGCTCATCTGGAATAGGATCATCTTCTTCTGAAGATGAGGACGGTTCCTCTGGTAAAAAGGGAGGCTTCTCCTTCTTCCCTATAGCATAAGCTTCCCTGGAGAGAGGGTGGGGAAAGAAAAAGAAAAAACTTAAAATGGACAAAGCAAAACTCTTCCAAGATTTGGATCTTATCAAAGGAAGATGATAGATGGAATTCTTCTCACGCCACATCAGCCTTCTAAAACACACACGTTCAGTTTAAACTACTTTTCTATAGCCACACCACTAGAAGAGGGAGGGGACAATTTCCCATCTGCAGGACTCTCTCATTCAGCAAAACCTTCACTCTGGCTCACACACAAAATTTTATACAAGTCAGAGGGGGGGGAAATCTCAGTCCAACAGCTATTTGTTAAGAATTGGAAGATGCTTTTGAAGATGCACCACCACAGGCATTCACACATGGCCTCTCACTCGTGTTCTGTCCTGCCTGGTTCTGATCTGCACTTACGCATCGATCGTTGGGATCGCGTATTTTCCAGTGTTTGTCAGCATAGCACCCTTTGTATTGGGATCTTTCACCTCCATCATGAAACTCCTTGGAATTCCTGTGCTCTTTTTAATTCTGGGAACAGACTCGAAATTTTTGTCCTGTTGAGAAATGCAGACAGATCTCATCTTAAGACCTACGCTTAAAATGACAGTTCGATGATTATTTTAATCAGCAAAAGCCTTTAATCCTCTCTTCTACCTAGTGTAAGGGTTGCTCGACTGAAATACTTATTTCTCCTAAATTACTACAGCCAGGATGTTCCAGAGGCTTGAGCAGTGTTTTGAACTCAGCTGACGTTCTTTGGCTCACTGTCAGGTTCCTCAAGGGTGAAATGTCCCTCAGCTCACCATCCACTCAGGGAAGAGACACAAACCTGCGCCTCCTCCAAAGGCAATTCAGAGGCAGAGCTTAATTCAGGGCACTGAATCAGTGAGGAAACTCACACTTGCCATCTACCTATGAAGGTTGAATTCACACCTCATGCACATACATTGGGTGACTAACATTAAATAGTATTATTACTCAACCAGAGACTTGTGAATTAAAATAGGCAAACACTGAACACATGAGATCAACAGAAAAAAACACCTTTTTGTATGAAATATTCCCAGTAACATTGAAATATATCAAAACCTACAAGCAAGTTCACAGAGAAAGGTCTATAGGCATAGATATTTAATGCCCATGACCTATAAAAAAGAAAATTTTGTTAACTCTTGAGTTTCCCTTTGATTTCAGGGGCTTTGGAACACTGCCATACAATCTCTGTGTTTGACCCCACAAGCAACAACTCTTAATACAAATAGTCATATATTTGTTAAGTAACTGCCAAGGTAAAAACAAAACACCAAAAAGACTAAGCAACACCCAAAGTCCCCCACCATCTTACCCCATTTGTTGGGCAGTTCTTTATATAGTGGCCAGGTTTTCCACAGCGAAAACAAGTATATGAAGGTGGAGGTGGACCCGAGGGTTTCTTCATGTAACTAAAAGGTTTTGGGGAAAAGAAGAAAAAGGTATGCATGTGTCTCTCTTGTTAAAACAAACATCTCAATTTTTTTCATAATCTTCAAAGGACAGATTTGATGTTATCAACACTTACTTGACTGGATCATATTCATGGCCAGACTGTGTCATCATAGCTTTAATTTTATCTTCTTCGGAAGCATTGGCTTCAGCCAGATTGGCAGTCTGTTTAACAGGTAATTGTTTGACACACACATTAGAAACACATTTAAGCCCACACAGCCAAAGACAACACCACTCATCCAATCCTGTAAAGAGCAGCACTGCGCTAGCTGAGGTTGCATAAAATCTATTTGTCCTGAAGATGTTCTGGGGAGTCCTTATGCCATGACATGATGTTTATGTGCCTGTTAACCTACTTGAAAAGAACATTCTTAGGCACTCAAAACCTTAGGCTCTGTTTGTACCTTACATCAAGACTTGTGTAACTAATCCAATTTCCTTCCAAGTGGACTGAAGCTATGCGTAGAAAAAAAAAAAATACACTGTCCAGTATTTTTAAACTGATTTTTAAGCTCCAGGCTATTTGAAGGAGAAGATATCAACTGTACAGTTAATTGAGAAAGATGTAGGCAAGTATCAGTATTTACATTTTGCAGCATTAAAAGGACACACAACTTAAGTTGGGGCAGTTGTTCCTGTTTGCTGAAACTGAGCTTCAGACACAGAAGCATTAAAAGGAATCAAGCTTTTTGTAATCCCCCAGCAGAAGAAAAGACTGTTTTCAGTAGAAATTTGAGCATCATGTGCTGCAGGCCATCCGAACTGTGTGTTCCCCATACCAACTTCTTCATATTACAAGATTTAACTACAGGACACACAACCTGCCACATTTTTTCCCACTTGACTGTGTCCTTTTAACATACAAATTGTAATATAAACTTATGCAGAACTAGATTCTTCACATTATTGAAGTAAGTTGATTTTTTTTTAAGTAGTCTTTGTTCAAACGTTTTTATTATACACTAGTCCAGATACAAGCAGGGTCTAAGGGAGTGACTGTAAATGACTTGGACCTTCAAGCACCTATCATTCAGATCAACCACTCATGGTTTTGGTTTTAGATGCATTCATTCACAAAAGCAACCAACTAGTTTCAATATTTTATTAAATGGTTGTTTCATATACACAGTTTTTTCTCAACAGCAACATAATCCAGATTGACAGCTATGAAATCATTTCCATTAACATTTACAGAAAACTTTACAGATAATTGACTAATTTGTTTGAACCCAAACGGTTTATTTTACAAAACACATCCAAAAACCACAAAACATTAGTAGGAATAGACCAAAATTCAAATATGGCATTTCATACACAGTAATAATAAAACAGAACTAGTAACACATTGCCTACATGCTGAGCCAGTCTGCACTAAGAGAGGTTAGAGTAAGTAACAGTTTTGAGCTGCTTTACGTTATAGTCCTGTATTTTTCTGAAATACTTAATTTTCCTTGAAAGCTTTAATGTGTACACCACTTGGACAGTTGTTCACATTTTAGAGAAATCTTCATGAGTTTACAGAAGCAAGGACACGTTTAGGGACAGCACTAATGGAGACCAATTTCTTTTGGTTGCTACCTCCCAAACTTATTTTTTTGTTCTTTCCCCCCAGTGTACACAATTTAGTTTCTGCAGTGAGAGGGGGGGAAAGAAGTTACCAGTGGGAAGAGATTTCTCTTTCTTGGAAAGGAACTCCAGCCTTTGTTTTCAGAAGAAAGAACCAGCTCCTCTGCATTAGGCCCTGCCTTCTCTAATCTGCAACTTCACAGCCTAGTAGTGACTTTAACCGGCTCGCACTGTGCCCTTCAGCAGAGGCAGTCACTAGTGCTTTCCCAGACAAAGTTACACATTGTGGAGCAAAAAATGCAAGCAGTTCCATAGCAAAACATGGCATTACAAGAGTTTCAGGAGGTCACGGCTGCTGGTATGCCACACGGACACATTGGTATATTCCTATAAGCAAGGAGGTACATTTACACAATTTACAGTCTGCGTTCAAACAAATTAGGTCATGTTGTCCACTGCATAGAAACTGCAACTGAGGAGTTATAAATCCACTCTTTGAATGCTGCACAACTATTGTGACTAGAAATTCAGAAACAGCCATGCAATTGTCCATGTGACAGAAACGCTTCTATTTTGGCTGTGGCAAAACCCCCTGGAATGTCCATAACTTACAGCCAATTTAATTCTTCTGTAAAAACTGTATTAGTTTCCAAGGCAAAATTAACGAAACGTATGAAAAATGGTAAACAGCTTCTGAAGTGCTTCTTCTTTGTGTCTTGAAGATGAGTAATACTGCAACATTATGTTGAGGCTGATAAGGTACTCCCCTTCTATCTTCCCAAACTGGGAACTACTCTTTACAGGATAGTATCAAAATATACACACATTTCAAAGTTAAAATAAATACTTTTAAATTATTAAAATTTTGTTCCAATTACAACAGTTATTCATCTATAGATCACAGTATAAATTTAAAAATAGGAAGAAAACACTTTTTTTAAAAAGTATTTGACAAGAATATATATACCTTAGTAAGCTGGGCCAGAGAAATAGATGCAGAAGAGTCATCAATCTGTTCACAAAAAATTAAACACATATTCAAGTTCTACAATTAAAACACAGCAATAATTAACCTCTACTGTAGTCTGCACTATATCCTCTGAGTGTCACCGCAAAGAGGCATTTCCAACCTAGTGTAATTTCTATTTACTTAAAGTCCAAATCTATGACACCTTAAGAGTGCCTGTGTGGTTCATGAGAAGAAACTAAAATAACCAAACCTGCCCGAGAGCAACTTATTGCTCCAAAATCCCAGGAAGGGACCCTTGTCAAATGCTCACAACTGCTTAAAAGTCAAAGGGGTAAGGAAGCTGTCAATTTTTGGCTAAGAAGTACTAAAAAAATATAATTAAACCTGAGAAGGATGTATCACTACAGGAAACCTATTTTCAGTATAGTTTGTAAATTAATCAGTTAATGTCTCATCGTTTACAAGTGCACACAGTCACTCTGTTATGAACAGCAGCTGCCTGTCAGACCAAGGCACAGGCACATCAGCCCTGAAACACCAACTCTGCCCTCCTGTACAAAGTTTGAAAATTACCAACTCACTATACCACACAAATCCCAAATAAAAAAGCAATCTAAAACATCAGCCTTAAGAGTAATCCACCACTTTGCCTAGAAAAAAACTGCTTAAACTATTTAACTAAAGGTGTTGATCATGATGGAGTAGCCTATAAAAAAACCCATGAAAACCAATTTCTTGTATTTTATTAGACCCCAGGCCATACTATCTAAATGGGTTTGGGAAAAGTGAGAATTTACTCTTTCCTTACTATCAGACCAAACCAAATTTTTCACAGCAGGCAGCCCAGTACTAAACGAACAAAAGCAGTGAAGTGTAGAGCATACTGTTAATGATGAAAATGTGGATTCAGAGCACACTCCTGCCATTTTTTGTTCTTCTCCCTTGCAACCCCACGCCTCCCTCCCAGCTGCCTACTAGAACAGCTTGCAGGACTCAAGTCCCCTGGCACTAGTTGCTCATGGACTGCAGGGTTCAATGAGAACTAATACTGAAGGGCAGTTTTTCCACAGGTAGAAAGGGCAACTCTTGTATAGTTCCTCCTCCAGTATACTCAATTATATTATGCCACAAGCAGCAGTTCAGCTGACATCAGCTAAACATTATCATAAAGACACTCAAGTCACTGCTCATTATGTCTTAAAAGTTGCTCAAAAATGTAGAATAAAATTTCACAACAAACTCATCAGCTCTCCTCAAGAGGTCCCTAAATTGATCAGAAGAGAGACTGAAACCCTTCCTTGGACAAAGCTCTTGTCCTTTATTACCTAATGGAGTGGAAGAATTCAAGGGAGCAGTTTTAGTAGACTCCCAGGAAAAAAAACAAACATCTACTTACAGAAGATGATTCCTCACTCCTTTTAATCATCCCTCCTCTGTATGTTTAGGAAGGCACATCACTGTATTACTAATTAAAAAGTACTTGACAATGTGCCTTTGGAGAGGAACCCCTAGATCTGGAAGAAAAAGCCTTCTTTCCACTGTAAATCTTACCAGAAGATTCAACTTTCCTCCTTTTCAGAACATTTTGTACCGTTAAAAACAAAGTCTGATGAAATATTTTGTAGCTTCATGCTCCATATGCCACTCCTTTCTACACGTGGAAAAACAGGTCTCTGTTCCTTCATGGCAGGCACAGCAAGAAAAATCTGTTGTTTTCCACCAGCAAACCACAAGTTCAGAAAGCTCTCTGCTGGAGCCTCGTGTTAAACAGCAGAGCACTGACTATTAACGGAAACAAGCTATTCATGAGCTCTAGTATTTTAGGAAGCACTTATTTCTATGCCTGCAGGCAGGAGTCTAATCTCTTAAAGGAGGTGATAGCAATCCTTTCTCCTAAACAGTTTTCATAAGCAGCAAATAAATAATTAATGTACTACTCAGTACATTCACCCAGTGGCCATCTCCCAATGGTCCTACATTCTTGTGTCTTTTTTTTTTTTTCTCTTCTTTAAATCTCTGCTGCAGTTATTCCTGCCAATCAGTCAAGCAGAAACAACATCTCCATGGAACTTGTACACAACCCTAAGAGAATACTGCAGAAAAGGGAAAAAAAACACCAAAAAACAACCCACACACCAAAAAACCCACCAAGCTCCCCCAAAACAGAATTAACACTCAATGTATTAACTCCCATTTCATGCAGGAGACTAAATAGAAACTAACATGAAGCAAGTGGGAAAGGGGACAAAGGATAGGAGGCAAAGGCCAATCTCACTGCTGGAGTGCTACATGTACAGCACAGTGCTTTCCTGAGGCCAAACAGCTCAGCTAAACTACAAATTCACTCGGGTGGCCTCACGGGTGGGCTGGGTGGTGCTGAAACAGTGGGCATGACCCTCTGCATTTCTGCAGCCTCCAAGGACAAACGTCAGCTAGTAATCCTTGCAGTTACTAAACCAAAAAGGATCCACCTCCTTGATCTGGCTGTAGTAACAGTGCGACAGCAGCACCAATGTGCAAGTGTAGAGTGGCAGCTAATGTAAGATCAAGACAATGAAGAAAGAGTCAAAGAATAAGCTTTGTAGATCCTTTAAAAAAATAATAAAATCTTAACTAATTTTAATTTTGCTTCTTTACTGTTGAACACTAATTGGCAAGCTCTACAGCAATTTATTCCTACCACGCTAAGATGCAGGTTCTGCTTTGAAATGCATACAGAAATGTATGTATTTAAAAAATCAACAACAACAAAAAAACAACCAAAGAGAACCCCCACAGCTTAGGCCAAGACCTGAGATAGATCTAAGAACAAAGTTAACTGTCTCCCACACTGCAGTGCTTGAGGATGCAATGCTTCTACAGGGGAGAGAGGCTTGTCAAGAGAGGTGAAAGGCTTCCACCCTCCCTATGGCTACCCACAACCCAGAGCAGGTACAGCCAGAGCACTCAAGAAGGGAACGGTTTTGCTTTGCCTTTCATTTACCTTAAGTAGTTCTAACTAACACTAAGTCTTCCCTCCCACTCCAGGATTTTTTTTTTTTTACCTTTTTTGAAAAAATGTTTTGAGAAATCTGTGTTAGCTCATGGTAAGATGCTACTTAGAAACGTAATACAGACATGCCAGGGAACACACAAGGCTAAAAGAATGTTAACTTTATTTATGAACATGTGATTTGTGTTTATACACATGCTAGTAAACAAAAAGAAAAATAACTTGTTTTCAAGAAATAAAAACCCATCTGAATTAGATCAAGTACTGTAAGCGTGGTTCACATAAATGCATTACATTAACTGCTAGGGTCACTGGGCCAGGTAAACTAACTCAAACTCACAATGAGAGGCATTTGTGTCCAGAAAAGGAATTCAATCAGCAAGAGAATTATGGATGCAGATTTCGACTTAGTGTTTTCAGACCTACACACAAAAAGTTTTCAATTTTAAGTTGATTGTATACCATTCCACAAGAATCAGAGGCTGTATTCTTCACAGAACACAGACCTAGAGATCATTAATTTCTAGATTAAATTATCCTAGCAGCTTATCAAGTGATCAGATCCAATGATCCAGGGTTAGTGTAATGCCTCGCACCATTCTAGTGAAGAAAAAGCAGTTATACTTAAAATAAAGATGAAAAATAAAAGCACCACATAGTCCTTAGAATATAAAAATGACTATTTTGAAATGCGTAGTTACACACAGTATTCGACTCCAGTGGCAAATCAAGATCTAGACCATTACCAGTCAAGTATTTCCATGTTACTTATTTATATTTTAGCAGAACAACAGTGTTTTCACACCTGAAGAAAATTGTTGCACCGTGTCCAAATGTAAATTCAAAGTGGTGGTATACTAAAGAAAGGCTTAACCTTTGGGAAATTAAAGAAGTATCCAACCCTGAGGTCACACAGATCCAAAAATGTACTGCAGGCAGATGAAAAATGGCAGGGATTTTACCCACAAAGGCACCAGGCTCTAACCTTGTGCCAAAATTTGTATGAGGTTTTCATTTGCAGACAAACTATTGAACTAAACTGCTTCATTGGGTAAAGTGGAAAGATCAAATGCAGAACTTTAGAATACCACTTCATGTAGCAACAATATTTAAATTCATGGCAATCTCTTGAAGACATTTATGCACTCAGAGGGGCCCAAACAAGATCCCTTTGATTACACAGCTTTAGGAAGAAATACCCAAGGATTTAAGGACACGAAAAGGAATTGTTCAGCTGCACAAAACTGTCCTCAAAACACATGGGATATGTTTGGTTTGGTATTTGTTTGAACCCCCAAGTCAAAAGTAAGAAACAGTACCAAGTTTAACAATAATGGTTTCTCAGTGGTTTTTGATAACATTTTCAAAAACCATTAGGCAAAAAAAGTATTTAAAAACAAAAGCTAAGTGATACAATATGAAAATGGCAAAAAATACACTCCAAACAATTTTTATTGCAAGAAACAAAAAGCACACAACAACCTATACAAACATACATGTTACTAGCTATAGACAGACAGATGTAGAACATGGCACCATGTTCAGCTGTGCAGACCTTGAGCCTACATCATCTAACCCGATCATACATCAGCTGTACAACACAAAGTCCTACAGGAAATATTCTAGCATAGGCAATAGGAAATACAATGCATTGCTAGGCACAAATACCAATAGTCACATTTAAAATGTGCAGATTATGGCATTATTCAGTTTTTACTATGCTGAACCAAATACATGGTATTTACAACGTACACTATGTTTTACTGCAAAATGTATTAAGCTACTGTTTGGAAAATTAAAAGGCTACATGGTTTAGAATTAAGTGCAGTGTGCAGAAAAAAGTGTGAGATTGTGTTTTTACATACTGCTTTTGATGTTCCACCCACTGGCTCAGTTCGGCTTCTAGAAGAAGAAACAAAGGTGATCAGAACTTAAAACGAAGCACTTGTACCCAACACAGAGCAGTGAAAACAGATGATAAAACCTTAACTTCAAAACATTATGTTCCAGTAGTCTAGAGAATGTGGGAATTTGTTAGTTTACATAGTGTTCTCTCTTGGTATTCACTGCAACTAGAACAACCCCCAAAAATCCCATTTCTACTTTGTCACCAATTAAGACGTGCAGATATAGAACACAACAGGGCAAGAGGAAGTCCTCAGGTATTTTGCCTCTGCTACAAAACCATCAAAAAGATGAAGTCTGTGCTCGAGTTTTGTGTTCTTAAATAATCAACCACCAAAATACAAAGGTAGCTTTAGTCAATCTGCATATCCCTAGTACTAGAAGTACTTTAATTTCTAAGGAAGAACAGTGACAATCTAGACACTTGGAAGTGCAAGTTTACTTAACTGAAAAAAAGAGTCAGTTGACAGAGAAGGAAACATAAAAGCATCAGCAGCATGGTCTTTAGAACAGTGTTTCTTTGTGGAAGCCCAAGCACTGTGTTCAGATATTTACTGTATTCAGCCATGGAAGTGCCAAAATACTAAATGTGTTACAAACGCTATATTGACTAAAAATAGTAGTAGAAATGTCACCTGAAAGAAGTTTCTAGGGTTTTGTGCGATTTAGGAGTCCTGTGACAAAAAAAAAGGTCTTAATTGCCAGAATTTGCTTTATGATAATCTTGAAAATGCTACAATATGGTAGGAAATATTACATTTGAAAACTTGCTGAGATTCCACATATTCAAAGATCTGTATCTGCATGCTACTCTGCTCATCACAAATTAGACATGCAACCACTCAGTTAACAAACAGTTCATCCATCATCCAAAGTCCCCCATGAGCAGAGGCCACTCAAGGGCTGCAGGGGAATTTCTGCACAAACAGAAAGGCTTGAGCTCCCTGCCATGCTGGAACACCACTGGGCTTGTGATTACAGCCACTGCCTCCTGAGAACGAGGAGGTACGTGGGAACAGATCACCACACTAAGGCTTCTTCATCCATTTACTGTGGAAGAACAGACTACAAGGAGAGTAAAGTGTTTCTGAAGGCCTCTCCACCAAGCCAGCAAACATCTATCATTCCCCAAACACTAACCACCCTACCAGTTGTTTCTGCAGTGTTTCCAGTGGAAGGAATGTGATGCTCATTGGCCTGGGTGATGTTCAGCACTAGAGCAGCAGGGTCATTTGTTCCTCATCCTCACACACACATCCTGGTTTGATCCTTAATGCCAGCACCATCCACCCTCTCATTTTAGGGCAGCATTACAAGACCAGGAGAGAGGGCCAATGAGAAATGGAGGTTGCACTGACAAGACAGCATGAAGTATGCATATTTAAATTAACCTCCAAACAAGGCCTCACTTACAAGCTCAAGGCTGTGGTGTCCAGAATTACCAGGTAGTGCCCGAAAGCACTGCAACAACTACGACAGCAATACGCCCAAAGTTTACAGGCAGAGCCACAAATTCAGGGCTTTTTGCTGGCAAATGCTTCATGGGTACCAGGATATTGCTGGACTGTTTGTTCAAAAGACACTAACTCATTGCTATTTATTGAGAACCAGCATGAGAAGGACATGGCTAAACCACATGCTAATGGTATCTACTAATTATAGGGGAGAGGCACCTCTTTAAGAAGGCTAGAAAACATGACTGTTCACACAATGGTGGTGAGCTGGCAGGGAACTGGCCTGTAGGAGCACAGCAATGACAGCAGCAATCCTGCAGCCAGGACTGCATTTGAATAGCTGTCATTTTACTCAATACACTCGATTCGCCACCCTCCACAGACCTCCAGAATACAGAACTAAGAGCTGGAGCACAGTTACCAGCCTAGGGCAGAAACAGACTTAGATGACTAGTAACACTTGGTAGCATGCTGAATTGCTTCCTGAGTTGGATGTTTGGGAAGGATTAATTACTCCTTCATCATCCTCACAAAATGGCACCACGCTGCACGGTACTGTTCTCTCTCTCTTGCACAGAACAGACATGGTCTGTAGGTAACAGGAGTCACTTATGAATGGAACCTCATGTCTGTGTGGCTCCCCAGCTGGCAACCCTTGATCTGACCCCTGCAGCCAGTGTGCAAAAACTCCAGGTTTGGGGCTCAAGAATACCTGCTGCACCCCACCCCCACCCCAATGCAAGAAAGAGTCAAACACTGAGAATGAGACTCTGCCGAGACAGGAACAAATGCCAAGCTTACAGTGCATGTGTATCTGTCTTCACCATAAAAGCAAACCTATAGAATAGGGAATCTGCCCATGTAGAGGAAATGGGATCTGCAACTTGGGACTCAGAAAAATCAACCCCAAGAACACATGCAACAGAGTCATCTTAAAAGTGACCATCGTTGGGAGTTTGGATCCCCTGTCCCAGCAGGCCTACAAACCTAAGTCTGCTTTGGGACAGAGACGTTAAAATCTACCCCATGACAACAGAAACTACCAGCAGCTTTAGCAAGATAGATACAAGCTGGCTGCCTCTGTAAAGCATTAGCAATGAGGGAGGTGACCAGGCATGCAATGCTCTCTGGGCACTCACATAACGTATGTTTTGCTGGTGGCTTTAACTCCTCCAATCGGGATTCGTCTCACAATCACCGAGGAGTTCTTCGGAATCAGAGCGTTATCGTCTGTGTATTCTGAAAACAACAAGTACAGAACAAACATCAGTCAGTTGGTAAAAATGTGTATTCATATGGAGTTCAGAGAATCCCTTTACAGATGTAAAAGCAGAATTTTTTCTGCAGCGTTGTGCTTTTATCATCTCAACACACAACAATGCATTTCAAGAAATCCTCAGGTTTGACAATCAAACACAAGCAGCAAAACGTTTTTATTTTTTTAAAGCAGTTTGAATGTCAACAGCAAAATGGTCTCACAGGTCACTGAAGGGAAGTCTGCTACTATGGGAGCTTCTTTCTTGGTCTAGCTTAAGTTGCTTTTGTTAAGCCACAAACCCAACAGAACTTTAGAGAACAGCAAGCTGCAGGAAGACTCACCTGCATAAAGCAGACTGAAGTCTCACCTGCTTACCCTGCAACAAAACAGGCACCTAGTGACAGCCCAAGAACTCCACACCACTGATTCCATGGCTCCCCATACCCCATTCCCCTCTGCTGCCAGCACTCAGGCTGGCAGGACACAGAAGAGAGGTCCTCACCCCTGTCTCTCCCTTGGAGCTCCAGTCCTCAGCACCCACACTGCCCAGGGCTTTACACTGAAATGGAAACCAAACTGGCAGAGAGAGAATTCACATCACAGAAATAAATGTGGGCTTTTTTTCTGAGCTTGCTTTCACAAGAAGGGTAGAACTGGCTCAAACTAAAGTCTTATCTTCCCCCTCCTTTAAGCTAATCACCTCATTTGAGTTAACCAAAGAGACATGAATTCTTTCAATGCACTTTCTGCAGAGCAAAGAGACTCAAAGTTCCTTATGAAGCCAGCCTTGCAAAGCCTTTTGAAAGCAGCATGGGCCTGAAGCTATCCAATGCTGCCTTCTGACCTTTTACATAAGGGCCAAACAAAAAACCCAACTACCCGAGACACTTGGACTGAGTAAGCTCCAAATGCAAGAATCTCTGCATTAGAATGGTTTTTATATGGTACTTACACAGGCTGCACATGACCAAACATTTTAAAGCACTACCAGCAGCCACTGCCTGTAATCTGCCTACAGTTTTCAATATTAAAAGCCCTCAGCTCTGCAGACTGAATCTGATGGTCTGAAAGCCAAGCAGGCTGTGTACCTGGTCAAGCTCTGTCACACAAAATAAAAGCATTCCAGTATATTCTTCCTACAGGCAGGAACCTCCCTTAGACCAAAACACACCTACCAGAAGACACCATTTCAACAAGGAAACAAATTTTATTTCTGCTGCCAAATGACAGAGTGCTTCTTCAGAAAACTGAGAAATCATTTAGCTGAACCTAATTCCTGATCTCCCCCCAGGGAACTGAGCAGTCAGCTTCCCCTGGACTTCACAGTAGTCTCAAACTGTAGGAGGAAGGACTACTAGTGGTAACAACAGGAGCTTTTACACAAGTTGCATCCTGAGACCAATCCCTAGAGCCTTTCTCAAAGGCGGATGACACCTTTCCACAGCCCCCTGTCAAGAAAGGTCTGCACTGGGACATTCTGATGGAGGAGCTCCAGCAACACCAAGGCCCAGACAAACAATGGGGCATCATTCAGCTGCACTTCTACCAGCCCAAAGCAGCTGTTTCCACCTGCTGAAGAGAGTCCTATTGACTAGTTTTTTTCTGGTCCAGATCAAAAATCACAGAGTTGAGATTTCAGAGAGACCAGGTGAGTAGAAGTGCCTTAAGAGGCAGGGTTTGCTGTGCCTGTGCCAGCTCAGCTTGTGGCAGTCCTGCAGAAGACTGCCAGGGGCAGCACCTCTCCTACAGGACAGGCACCATGCATTTACACCGTGCAGGCCTGCAGAGGTCAATGTGAACACACACCCCACGTGTGTGATGCAGAGAGGAGCAAGTCCTCCCTCAGTCTCTGTGACAATCCACTGAGCACTGGCAGCACCGACTCTGCCTTCTGAACAGCCTGTCCCTGCAGCTGCCTAGAGACACACACATGCTTGTTCTCAATCCACCTGCTAAGTGCATGCTGAAAAGACCTCCAAATATTTAATAAATGACTTCTAAGGTGAATTCATTTTTATATCAGGCTACCAGTAGACGTTTAAATAGATCACCTGAAGAGGGACAATGGCTTGGTGAAGTAAATGCCTCCACTGCACAGGACACTTGTCATGACACATGTCTGTGTTTGGTACTTGAGGAGTCCCACTCACTTGTTACCCTGTCAGAGAATTTGTGGAGGAGCATTTCCACACAGCAGAGTAAGCTGCCAACTTCTGTGAAGGGATCTGACACCAGCTGGCCTCAACACATTTATTTTTCCTCTGCCTCAATTAACTGAATTTATTTTGGTAATGAAATCTTAATTAAGGTGAGGTGCAGCAAAGTATACAAAAAAGCTAATTTTTTTTTTTTTAAATGGAAAGGACTAAAGCTGGAGACATATTCCAGGTCCCTGGAAGTTTCTGTTTGCTTGGTTTGACTTTCACAGGTGCCAGCTTAGCACAGCAGCTCTCAGACTGAACGGGCATCTCCCCTCAGGAACCTGTTCCCCACAGGCAGCAGCCTCCCCTCGCAGAGACCTGGCAGCTGCCAGGACCTGTGAAGCAGCCTCACCACATGGCTCCACATCTGCAAAATGAGCAGACATCATGCTCAACGAGGCCACTGGTCACACTTGTCCAAGCAGAGCTCCAACAGCAATGTCTAACAAAGCCAGAGGTAACAACATCATTGATTCCTACTCCCTTACAGCACAAAACCTGTTCTACTGCCAGTGACAGCCAGTAAGTGGCTACTGGACTTCTGTCAGTGTGAGCTGTGATCAAAAATAAGCATTCAAGTCAGCAAGTTGGCAAAAGCAAAGCAAGGTCTGGATGTTACATTAAAGTCAAGAGTGGAAGGGACCCAAGTCTAAAACTTTTATTCTACAAGAAAACAGTATGCCTGGAAGAGTCAGGGGAGAGAAGTATCTCAAGGAACAAATGGAGACACAAATTAAACCATTCTTTTAGCTGCAGCCTCGTCCAGACTGAGACATCCCAAACCAACCCTTGTGCCAGTGTGCACCACCTCCTTCCCGAAAAAAGGTACCAACTACTCAGGTGATGTGCTGGAGTTTATACTGCTTCAAATTTCACACACAATTTTAAAATACCACTTTTAAATTAATCTGTAATTCTGAAAACCTTGTCATCTTAATAATTTGTAGCACATCTATACAATAAAAAAGTTACTGAGGAAAGCTCCTACTTTATTGCCTGCTTTAAAGCACCATCTTGAGTGTGACTGCACTGCAAGAGCACCCCTCTTGGCACTGTCTGGAGAAGCATTTTCACCCAGATAGAAGTAGAGAAGCTCATCAGAATAGAGCCATCCAAGGCAAAACTATATGAAAATTACAAAAAAAACCCCACTCCAAATGTGGTCTTCCTGTGCTGTTATGCTACCCGGGAAGGATTTGCAGACTCAGAGATGTGGATAACTACCACCATGCCAGACTGTCTGCCAGAGAACAGGGTAACTCTCAAGAACATTTTCTCCCTTGCACTTAAAACCAGGCTTTTTCCTGTGATTCTTCAGCTCTGTTCTACTCATCCACATCAACTGCACACTTTGTGACAAACCAACCATCTGTGTAGGTGGCACTGGGAGCAGTGCTGTGAGACATCCTGATGAACAGACAGGACCACTGCTTCTGGATTTTCAGCTTCTACCAGAAGAGGTACCAGTGATTTCCTCTGCCCCTGGAGTATCACCCTGTCCTGTACCAGCTAGGTCAGGACTTCTGCATGGACAAAGCTACAAAATCCCAAGACTTTATGTCCACATGTAAGAATTCCAAACACCCCACTCAGGCAGAACATCCTAGTCTAGTGTTTTATGTTTAAGCATCTACATATGAATAATAAAAAGGGAAATTTACCAAGATGCATATAAACAAAAAATTTGGTTTAGACACAAACTGCACTGAAACGTATTCTTTAGCTTTGCTCTGAAAACCACTGGGGGATTTCTGTGTTTTCACGTGGCAAACACCCTTATGAGAACCTCGGGCAGCACCTGTGTCACTAATAGATAATTTAAGACCCCAAACTAATTTTACAAAGGTCAAAATGCAACAGAACCTAGCTAGAGGAGGATCCTGTCCCCTCTTCAGTATGAAAGCTCCTCCTCCTTCACCTGCCCCTCCAGGCAGCCCTGCACCTACCAGACCCAGCAACGCAGATGCCTTTTCTTCACTTGGTTATGTATGAAAACAAAGGGGCACTCTCTGTAAAACTGCTGCTGTGTGTATCAGAGGAACACTTTATCGGGTAACACAGTTATGAGCATAAATTTTTCTTCCCTCTGTTTTGAAGGCCGTTTTACACAGCCCCAGCTACCGGGGGAGTGACATCAGCCCGAGGGCCGTTCGGCCGGCTGCTGCCTGTGAAGCTGGAAGCACTTTAGCAACCGCAGCCAAAATCCAGAGACCCTTCTGCAACAAGGCCCGAAAAGCAAACAAAACATTTCTCAACAGCTTTCGGCTATTTTACTCACTACAAGAAAAATCCTAGAATTCTGAAATTACCTCTGCCTACGTTTCAATGACATCCCTACGACCCTTAAACACCGTGCTGTTAAGTCTCTTCAAAGACATTCTCCTGAAAATAGTTTAAATATCTGTAGATAAACGTTGAGTTTTAGGCCCAGGCACTTTAAAGGCAAGGCTGAAGTTACAGCTACCACACTGTACATGCTCTGTATAAATTTTAATACATGAAGCAGGAAGATAAAAAGACATTAGTACACGTTTTTTAAAAAAGGACTGTTCTATGAGTGCCACAGAAAAAATAAGCGTTTAATGAATGAAAACATTTTACAATTATTTTTATTTCTGAAAAGTCACATCCCAAATCCTTTAATCACCCTCAAACTTATCAAAATGGCAGGTTACCAAACTGAACTATCATACTAAGTAATAGAAACCCGTTATCATCTGAGAATCAAGCACCATTTAATAGATTTTAAAGAATTTATGACTCTTGTTACGCATGTTCAC